CCTCCCCCACTCCGCGCTCTCCCTTGTATGGAAAACGGGGGCGGAGCGCGCGCTGCCAGGCTCGCGGCTTCAAGAACTAGCGAGGACTGTGTGGGGAGGATGGAGCAACTAGAAAAGGAAGGAGGGGCCCACAGACCCGGAGTACCGAGGGAGGAGTCTCGACCGCGGGAACTGGCAGCGCCCCTGGAGAGTCCCGCTCCGGAGGAGCGCGCCGTGGCGCACGGCAGAGGACGAGGGTCAGGCTGTCGGGACACCCGGTGCAGTCTCAAGAGGGAAGGAGCAGGGGCGGGCGGTCGAGCGGCACCAGGAGGTGAGGGGGAGACGTGGCGACCTGCTTCCGGGGCGCTGGGTCCTGCGTAGGGGCCCGGCTGCGGGGGACAGGGTCACAAGTGGGCTCGGGCAGGGGTTTAAAACGCAGAGCGTTCGACCCGCGCCCTCCCGCGGACCCGCTGAGCCCCGCGCCCAGGCTGCGGCGCGCTTCGGGGCGGCGGGTGCGGGCAAACCAAAGGACGGGATCGGCACCACGGACAGCTCCCGCCGGACCAGCCGCGCGGCGGGTGGCTGCGGGGGGAGGGGAAGGGACCGCAATCAGGGAATTCCTGCCCCACTCAGGGACCGAGGCATTTGGGGAAGGCACCCGACCTGGTTCAAAGAGCAGCCTCGCCGTCTGTTTTCTGGTCTGGGGCTGGCGGCTCCGAGAAGGGTAGGGTGGAGTGCAGGCAGATGGGGGTCGGAGGGTCGTGACTTTGCTCTGGTTGCAGGTCACTGCACGCAGTGCCGAGGACGACGCCGTCTTTTCACTCGCTGAGTCAGAAAATGTAGCCCTTCTGCCAATCGCCCCACACACACTTCAGTATCTCTCCCCTGCTGCTCCCTCACTCACCCTTTCTGGTGTTTTCTTTCTCAGCCACCGCGACCTATGCCACGTCTGCCTGACTCTGACTCTCTCGGTACAGAACCGAAGTTTCTGGACTGGGTTTCGAGTGTCTCCTTACTTGAAGAAACACCCACAGGCCTCAACACCTCATTTTGAGATTAAAAAAAAACAAACAGTATTGCAGGATTTCAGCTAGGATAACAAAGGTAATAAATATCTGAGAAGCTTAGAAGTTTCATAAAATCTTTAGTAGCATTAAGTCGTCTTTGAAGTGCAACTTAACCTGGACCAGAAAGGGCAGGAACCACGGAGGGGAGCCTTGTAACCCCTTTCCTTAGGAGCTATCTCATCACCTCAGCCTTTATTTCCTTTTTCCAGAGGAAAGAGCTTCATGGACCCCTCTCTGATAAGTCGTTGGTGCTCTGTCCTCTGTGACAGCCTAATTTCGGTTAGACTGGGAAAAAGTAACAAATTATTTCACCCTCCAAATTCAAATGAATCACTCACGCAAGAAGAAAAGTCAACATTGGAACAAAAGGAATCAATTTTTTGTACCCATATCCATCCTAAACTGACAGTCACTGAGCTATCATCAATTGAGCTAAAACCACTGACTAAATAAAAAAAGAAAAACTACAATGCTCTAAATAAGATAAAATCTATGCCTGCCTAATCCCTTATCTAGTAATTTTTCTTACCATGTTACCCAGCAGGGTTGTATGTACCCAAGAGCAGAGGCACTCTCTTTCTTCAAATTATCGCAAGCAGAGGAAACTGTGGTAAAGTCAGTGAAAAAGAATTGGGGATGTAGCTAGACCTTGTAACTAGAGCCATCTTTCTGGCAATATCATTATATTGGTCAACTCCTATACATAATAGTAAAAGTAATAAGAAGACAACCTTGTCAATAACTAAAGGCTGTGCAAATATGAGGAGGCAACCAAAAAATTTCAGAATTATCTCTTGGGAGTGCCCTTCTGGCAGAGGCCTCCCCCACTAAGCAAGTGTTCTAGGAACCCATTGGCATCAGTGTGCCAGTTAGCATTGTTGTAAAAGGCTGCGTTCGACTTCAACGAAAAAAAAATTATTTTGAGATTCTTTCAACACGTTTGCCCATTTCAAGATGGGTGACTTGGAAGCCCACCTGCCTACACTGCACAGCAGTTTTTGAACAAAAACAACATGACCCCCGTTCCCCCACCTCCTCCATATTTACCCAGTCTTAACTTTTTTTGTTTCCTCAGATGAAAAAAGTCCTCAAAGGGAAATGTTTTGCTGATGTGGAAGAGGCGCAACAAAAAATGGCAGAAGCACTAAAAGGCATAAACATGGATGAGTTCAAAAACTGTTTTGAGCCATGGAAAAAGCATCTTGATAGTGTATTGCATCAAACAGAGAGCACTTTGAAGGTGACTGAAATTTAAACATGTAAGAATAAATGCACAATTTTTTTTACAAATAAATTCTTGGTTTTGGGGGTGCCCCTCTTATTGGTATTTGAAGGTTCAATATTTTGGCACCCTCCAGAGATGAGAGCTGATCATTTGCCAAATTCCAAATAAAGCCTGGCAGGGTTTTAGTGTATCAATATATGCAAGGTGGAAAAGAAGTGAACATCTTAGAATAGAATAGCCCTTGGTATATCTTTATTCCCTCTTCTCTTCACTGGAGTGAAGTCAGTATATCATGACTAAACCATGCTAATGTTCAGACTTTCCTGTGCTAATAGTGCTCCAGGAACTGGGAATATAAAACTTTTAGGACACATGAAGGGCAGGTAGTACTTGATACAGTAGCCAGCAAAATAGGAGATTCCATGACATCCCATTCCCCAAAGCCTGCAATGGTCCATTAAACCAAGGCCACACCCTTTGACCTGGCATTTCCTACTAGTGTGACTGCCATCCTGATCCTCCCTGATTTTTTTTTTTTTTTTTTTTTGAGTCAGAATCCCACTCTGTCACCCAGGCTGGAATGCAGTGGCATGCTCATGGCCACCATAACCTCGACCTGCTGGACTCAGGCGTTCCTTCTGCTTCAGCCTTCCAAGTAGTTAGAACTACAGGCGTACACTTCCATGCCTGGTTAATTTTTTATTTATTGTAAAGACAAGGTCTCGCCATGTTGCCCATGCTGGTCTCAAACCTGTGGGCTCTTGCCTCTGTCTCCAAAGTGCTGGGATTACAGGTGTGAGCCACCATGCCCGGCCTCGTTTTTTTTGGTCTAACTTCCCACCTCTGTCCATTTTACTCCCTAAGGCCAAGCCAAACTTTGCTGGATGCTCACATATGCTCTTCATTCCTATTCAGTTCCTCTCTTGGGGTTTCTTTTCTTTCTCTGGAACGTCAGTTACCTCATCCCCACTCAATCCTACATGGCCACATTCTTCACATCCCACAAGACCCAATTTAAAGATTACTCTACTCTCAAAGACTTCCCCCTTTCATAATTTTTCTGTACTTTATGACTTTCTGCCTTTGAAATTGCAAAAGTGTTTCACTTCCCTGACTCCACGCACCCTGGCTGTAAGCTCTTTATGGACAGGAGCCAATGTCTTGAAGCATTTTTGCACCTACAACGTGCCATGATCCCAGTAGACACCCAATACATGTTCCTGCTGATTGAGGGAATAAAAATAGCTACCATTTATTTAGGGCTTGACACATGCTAGGCACTCTGCTAAGTAATTCATATGAATGGTCTCATTTGATCTCCCTCAGAACTATTAGTAAACCTATTTACAGATGAGAAAACTGGCTCATCAAGATTAAGTAACGTAACTAATCATAACGGCCCAGTTAATAATCACTGAGGCTGGAATTCTAGCTTATATCTGCCTGACTCTGGAGCCAAACCACTCAACTACTATACTTTACTGTTTATGAATGAATGACAGACACACCTGCACAGACTGAAAATGCAAGGAGGTTCAAATGGGATTGCATAAATATAAGAGAAACTCCCCCAATGGCTTATTAAAAGAAGCTCTGGAAAATGTGCTTATAACTCTAACCTTATCATGTCTAAGCTAAACACCTCTCTATGCCTCGCCCAAAATGTCCCTTGCTTCTATTCCATGCAAGAGACAAAACCTTGGGATGTATGAACTTTGGAAGATGATCTTTGCTAATGATGTCAATAGGTGACAAGGTGTGGAAAACAGAAGATTAAACAACAGAAATAAGGACTGAAGTTAGGGGTCTGAGAAGCTTGCTTAAAGAGATTTGAAGATTTGATGCCACCTAAGTTCATGCTGATACACTTTAGCTGGCCCAAGCATATGGGAAACCTTTAGAAGTCATTTTAAATTACCAGTGGAAAGAGAGAATTTGCTTGAAACTTGTGTAAGGCCAGGCAAGAACAGGGCATAAATTCCCCTGGAAGTGAGTTTTATCCTCTAAACCTGACCTGTGTGGTGTTCCAAGAGCCAGGTGCCCCATTAGCTCCTCAACTGAGCCATGCACCGGTTCTAGAAGCTTCTCCAACTCACGGCAAGTCTGGCCACTTAGGGCAGAGCAGTCTGTGGTGGGCAGTGTAATAACAGACATGACAGCTCATATAAACATGAAGAAAACACCATGTCTCTCCACTAGATGACTTCAAGCCAGTGCTTTTCATCACAGACTCCAGACATACTAATTATTCTTCCAGCTCAGTCCTGCACACACTAGTCATGCTTTAACCCTCCAGCCAAGCTTTGCCCAAACGCAGACTAAAGACAAAATCTATTATTCTGACAAGAATCAGTCCTTTTTTCGTTGGACTCTTCTTCCTATCTTGTAACAATCAAAACTGAGGCCCAAATGGCCTTGTGCTCTCCATCCCAGAGGCATCTCCGATGTGGCATGTGGGGCT